CAAATCTGGTAGTGCCGATGTCGTCCGGGCCCCCGGGGACGTCATTGGGGACCTCCCGAGCACGCCGATGACACTCCCACGACAAATACGATTCGGCTCCAAACGTCGTGTACACACGGGCTGGTGCATATTTCTTAAAAGTCGCCAAATATAATTATTATTAATAGCAAATCGCCCATAATAGTTTATTATCCTGATCATTTCATTATTGCCACATGGCACTTCCCTGGCGTTGCCGTCTGAAGCCACACAACGATGCACGGGACGGGAAGCATCCTCAAAGGATCACATCCTGGACAAGCGAGGCGGGATTGCCCCAGGAAAGAATCACATCCCGCGACCACGATATGTCGGTGAGTATGCCGTAGTTATTGCTCTCCCCGGCTGGCTCCCGGGGTGCCCAGCGGACTAGAGCGATCGCAGTTCAAATCTGGTAAGATGTCTGACTAATGTTATGGTACCAAGGCAATCGTTGAACCCTCCCCTACGTTTCTAGACCACAGCGGGGTCTGTGCGATAAATATTGAGGCAGCTCAGCTACGTGTCGCAACGTGCGGCGGGGCGGCAGCAGCGGGTCCGGGAGCAGCCTGTCCCCTCTCTGTAGTCTCTTGCTTTCAGCTAGGCGCGTAACGGCGACGCACGCACGCGCACGGCGCCGCGCGTCGCTAGCTTTACAAACCTAAGGTGAATGACAACGCCTGCGGCGCGTCGGGTAGGCCCGCCCGCCAAGTGTCTGTGTGGAGATGTGGCCTACCCTCAGCGCCTGAGCGGCGATACCCCGTACTCTCGCCAACGCCAACCCTGCAACGAGACTACTACGTGCAACCACGTGCGACACGGTTTACGGAAAGAGTTCGTTGTTTGGCTTTTGGTTGTTTGTGACTTTACGAAGGTAAGAAACTGCTGTTCTTATTTTCTTTTTAACCTAGTTCGTCTTCGTTAATTTTAGATTTGTCAATATAGTGTCATAGAGACACCTCGGAAGTAAGCAAACTTGATGAGTCTCATTCACAAACTTACGTTCATAACCTCATTTTAAATTTACTACCATGCACGTAACTTTTTTTGACATTTCTCTAAAGGCAAACGCAAAGTTTAAACATGCATGCATGATGCATTTGCGTTGCTGAACACTACGTTTAACAACATATTCAAATAATCTGCGGTCAGGGACTTAAAATAAAAACTCACAAGAAATGTTAAGAGCGCTCAAAATTATACCATCAAAACTGAAAAAAGAGTTCATTGCGTTAATTAAGACCAGCGTCTCCGCTCGACAATGGTACGACTATCATGTCTGTAGGTGTTATATGTTCTGAGATGAAAGTACAAACAGTTAAAGGGTGACCCCGCACTAAGATCAATACTCGGTCTTCCTACGACCAAGGTAAACTGTGCTGGTAAAGAACAAGTAATGAAAGCCTCAAATGGACTCAAATGAAAAATTTATTGATATTTTTCTTAAAGTTTGTCATGACTCTCCTCATGATAGAGTGCATGGACAAAAATAATTATACTTTTTTAGTAGTGTGAGGGTGTTTTTAGAAGAGTGCCAGTTTGCTCATTTTCTGTCCTTAGGGAATAACTGCTATCAATCTCAGATACAGCCCAAAATTTTTGAGTTTTTTGAAGTAGGATTCTATTTTTTTTGTTCACGCTTAGTGAGTAAGCGGAAAGAAATTTTGAAGCCTCTGAGATCCCCTGTGTCTTTAACCTTTCTGCTGCTCTAATGATTGCGGAAGGGATTGGAGGACACCATGAAGCAGGACTGGAAGAAAC